GAATAGCATCTCAAGATGTGAATTAATTTAATATGAATAAATGATCTTGGTGTGTCCCACTTGGTTGCAATAAAAGTATTTTCTCCCATTCCCTCAGGATGAGCTTTGCCGAGTGCCTCCCCGGCACTTGTCCGTGCGGGGAGCAGTGTGACAACCAGCACATCCAGAGGCACGAGTGGGTGCAGTGCCTGGAGCGCTTCCGTGCCGAGGGCAAGGGCTGGGGCATCCGCACCAAGGAGCCCCTCCGCTCAGGCCAGTTCATCATCGAGTACCTGGGAGAGGTTGTCAGCGAGCACGAGTTCAGGTAAGATAGATTTGAATGCATGTATTGATATGTAGGTTATTCATACAACATTACATATATGCATCGAGGGGCAAAACATAAATCACATTTTCACTTAGGGCTCTATTTTAACAAACCTAACGCAATGGCGGTAGCGCTATAGGTTTGGGGGTGTGTCAAATGTTTTTGCTATTTTCACAACTGGAATTATGGGCTCAGTAGCTGGCGGGAAAGGGCTGGGTTTTGATGACTAAACAAGTTGTAGGTGTGTCGAGGCTTGACCCCCTCACTGGCCAATCAGAACGTGCTCCATGGCAAAAAAGTTCAGCATTTAGGGATAAAAACAATATATAAATAAACGCTAAGAATCATCAATGTGATGGCTCTTTGCAGTGATGTATGACAGCGTGTCCATAGACATTAACAATCTGTTGTTAACCTGGGCTGGCACAATTACTGTATAACCGTGTAACCGACGGTTATGGATGAAGACCATCATGAAAATAGAATAACTATCATAAACGTTTAAAAATAAAAATAATTATTTTTGGTGTGTGTGTGTGGAACAAACAGCTGACTGAAGACGGGACTGCCGGGCATTTGGGCATTTGTGCGGTTGAGTCCGTTTCTGCCGTAACATGGACTCTTAACAGCGTGATCAAACTTTTTTGCGCCTTGCTGAAACAAGCAAATAAGTATTCGGTTGCCTAGGCAACACCCCCACAATGCAACAGCAGCACACATAGAAATACAATGAATAGAACATGCGTGGAACCTCTAACCCTAGTAATTTGACTGGTAAACTCATGGGTATACTCACAATGGCTGCCTGGTATTGTGGTGCAATAATTTCCATGGTAATGTAGAATGTTCATTCAAATGATGTTAACTGATGTGGCTCATACAATGGAATGTATTTTTTGTTGAATCAACAAATCACAGCACATATTTTACTTCCTGCTTTGCTCCTATGGGTACACTTGCAATGGCTGCCAATCCACCCATTATGCCATCATTAACGAATGGGGACGTCCGTTCTATTCAGTCTATTTCTATGGCAGCACATCCAGTCAGGAGCAGAGGAGGGGAGAAAATGTGCGTAAACACCCCCGTTAGTTTTGTTGTTGCTATTCAAATGGTTATTACGGTGACCATGGTCATTTGGCTGGCCAATTACCGTCATCCAAAATTCCATGACTGTCTCAGCCCTATTGTTAACGCAGCGAATGGGCTGTTTGAGAGCACACACTTGGTACTTGCAGAGCAGTCATTCTCCATCTGCTACATATCAACTGCAATCATTTCTATAATCAGCACTGTGTGATTTTCTCACGCCGTCCATTATTGCACTTCTTCTGTGTGAAGAGCCTGTCTGTCTGTTTTCGGGGGCCTGCGCTGCTGCCAGCAACGGTTTGGGTCTCACGGTGCCTCGGTTTCAGATGGTTTAGCATTGCACCTGTACTGCCACTAGCTCAATTCCACCTTGCAAAGTTAGCATTTCACCACCACCTCATTTAACTTCTCAAAGTATTGCCATATAGGACTTCCCTGCTGTCACTTCCCTGTCTCACTCTCTGGCATTTTCCCAACCGTTAACGACGATGACGTGCGGAGTGCTTTATATCTGTGGCAAATAAAAAGAGTGAATAATTCTAATCAAAACAAAACAACTTGTTTTAAATAGTCTATGTCTAAATACAGTTACAGGCACCATCATTGCTCCCCTTGGGCATATAATATTAAGGTAGACTATGGAGGCTTTTACGCAAATCCAAAATAATAATGGAAGCTGGCTAAAATAATTAAAAAGGGGATGTCGGCTCACTGTTTTGCTCCTCCCAAACCTGATCTTTCAATAAAGCTTTGGTGATTCATATGCATTTCAAAGCAATCTCAGAAGCCAAACCCTTAATTGATAGGCTGGGCTTTCCATGGCACTGTGTGCACACGTAGGCCTAAATGTCTTTAAACGCATAACATTCACACTTCTATACAAAATAGGAGGCTCCTGTCAGTTGTATCCAATGTCTCCCCTATATGCATGTAGTGTTTAAAATATATATATATATATATATATATATATATATATATATATATATATATATATATATATATATATATAATGTAGATGTATAGACCGCTCGACCCCCATTAACAGCCTCTCCCCCACTACATAAAAAAAAAATGCAGTTGATATGGTGGAGGACTGAATAGTTAGGAGGATATTGGCACCCCTCCCACCTCAACGCAAGCGAGCTGATCTTAGACAGGTAACGTGCGTTTGACACTTGCGCCTCCTTAGTGCCAATCGAAAAATGGAGCCCATAGTCTCCCATTGACATCAATTTATGACTAAGTGAAAATTCAACTTAAGTGGAAGTTACCAAGGATTCACGCCAAATGTATTATTCTTTCATGTTAAATCATTATTTTTTAAGGTGTGCCTTTTGAGTGGTTCTGTAGTGTTCATCTGTGTTCCTAAGCTCTGCATCGTATTCTCTTATCCATATATTCTAATGTCCCTCTCTCTCCCCCTCTGTGTGTGCTGTAGAAGTCGCATGATGGAGCAGTACTTCGCCCACAGCGGCCAATACTGTCTGAACCTGGACAGCGGCATGGTGATCGATAGCTACCGGATGGGCAACGAGGCCCGCTTCATCAACCACAGCTGTGAACCCAACTGTGAGATGCAGAAGTGGTGAGTTAGTAGGACTACTACTACTACTATGACTACAACAACAACATGCCATTTCGCAAACGCTTTAATCCAGACTGCCCAATCGATTGGTCGAAATTTTAAAACGTGTATTTTTCCATATTTAGACAGACCCTATGTTTGAATAAAATCAACTATATGTAGGCTGAGGTTGTCTGATGCTTTAAGCACTGCGATTTAAAAATGAAGACATAAATTATTCAGACAGTATGAAAAATGTATGCACTCACTAACTGTAAGTCGCTCTGGATAAGAGCGTCTGCTAAATGACTAAAATGTAAATGTAAATAAAGAAGGAGCCAGAGATCAATATAGCCTAACCAGAAGGAAAAAAAAACGTTTTCGTATAACAGTTTCATTTCATTTATAATAGTCTTCATATCTCAAAATGAATGTCATATGGTTAATACAAATTCTATCTAAATGAAAATGATACAAATCTAAAAGTAACTTCTATTGCCATTGCCAATATGTAAAAATAGCCTACATAAAGCCAACAGATAAAAACATTGCAGCCAGCAGGTAGGAAATATCCTGATTTTAAAATAAATATCCTATAAATCACATTGGCTACGCATGGCCTGTCTGCAAGGAACTTGAAACATTGTATCAACTATGAACTTGGTCAGCCACAAGCTCGTGCTAGCAAACTTGCAACGTATCAAAATATTCTGGGCCCTTAGTTTATCAGTCCAGTGAGCTCCGGACAGACAGACACAGCTGTAGGCTATTTGTGCAAGGGATAAGAAGTAATCAGGTAGACCTATTTTATGATGTTTCCATGCCATTTTTTTCCCTTTTTATGCTGAGTGGTTATCGAAAGGGAGAGAGCTGGAAAGATTTTTCAAAGAGGCTACGTTGAGGAACTATTGTCATTCTCAATGGATATAAAAACAGACTTTGTTTACTTGCTGTTTGAGGCGAAGAAAAAATTACTTTGAGAAGCTCCACAGTGATGGTGAGTTAAGACAATCAGAAATAGTATCAGATCCCCAAATGGGCACATTTATAGGCCTACATTTGCGCGCAGTCCAGGTAGCCTAGGCCTACTTCTGTGTGTGTCCTTACCCAAGATTGACAGTAGCTCTCCAAACAAAAGGCAATAAATAAATTGACAACTCATAAATGGAATGAAATAAAGCTACACTTTTTCCCCCACAAGTGTAGCCTAGGTTATGCGCTCTGCAAGCAACGTGTCCACTCTTACAATGACAATGGTAAGACTGTTGTAATAAAAAATAAATAAAAATATTCCACGACTGTTGTCATAATATATTGAATGCATTAACAGAAATTACCGTAACCAAACAAACATTGTAGATTATAAATTATGGTAATTCATGGTAAATGTACTACTGGTGTGCCACCCCCGCGGCCTCCGCAATGGTTTAGTCCACTCAGACAGGTGTGAATCAGACAGGTGTCTCGTTTGCCACTGCTCGACTAAAAAAAATATTGGTCGACCAACAGCCTATCAACTAAACAATCGACCAGTCGACTAAATGGGGTCAGCCCTACTGGACTGTGCCTGATTATTCAGCGCTAAACGGTTTAAGGCCCTTTCTCTGCGATAAACCAATCGACCAACCTCCAGACAATTCCAGGATTGCGTACCTCTCAGCCAGGATCAAGCACGGCAATTGTAGACCTGGTTAAGAAGGCTTCTGAATCATTGGCTCCTTCCCTAAGAATAATACATACTAGCGTTTGTTTGTCTGGTTGTTGTGTTGAATGAAAGAGCAAACTGGACATCAACATGTTAAACCCACCGTTTAAGTGAAAAGGAATTTCAGCAACTCTTGGAGGACAGTTGAAGTTAATAAAATAGCTTCTTTATTTTTAAAGACCCACCGTTTAACCCCAAAAGGGCCCGAACACAGACTGTAAAAACGGTTAACGACCTTTGAGAAAAGACAGTCACCTGTTTTCCTCCTTGCACTTCTTGAACGTCCAGTCCAGTGAGTAAACTAGGACACACTTATCTAACAACTGTCTCTGTAGTGCTGTGGGGTGGTGTGGACCGGGCCTCGAATAAGAGATTCTGCAGTGATAGAGAATTTCCAGTGTGAAGCCTGGCCAGTCCTCCATCTTGTCACAGAATAGCGATTATACGATGTTGTAGCTGGGGCCTTGGACACAGCCGTATTAGTGCCCCGAGACAATGTGCTGAAACTGATTTTTGTCCTCCCAGAAAGAATACATTAGACAGCAAAGGGAAAGTGTAGCCTATACGGTTGTACTGTGCAGGGAGATGAAGAAAGTGTGCTCCCCAAATGGCACCCTATTCCCTATATAGTGCACTACTTTTAACCAGAGCCCCATGCTCTGGCTGTGCCCTATGCTCAAGTTTTGGCCTGCCTGGGCAAATCTGAGTTCTCCCTCCTCACTCTTCTTCCCTCCTGTCTGTTGCTCCTGCAGGTCGGTGAATGGGGTGTACAGGATCGGCCTCTTTGCCCTCAAGGACATGAGCAGCGGCACGGAGCTCACCTACGACTACAACTTCCACTCCTTCAACACCGAAGAGCAGGTGGGTGTGGCGGCACATCAACCATCTTCCCCAATCCACTCCCAGTTACAGCCCCAATTTAGCCTGGTTCCAGATCTGTTTCTGCCAAGGCAAAAAAATCTCTCTTGGTCATTTTAGCATCCAAGAGCGCTCTCTCAATTTTCCCACACCGTTCCCTTTTCCTGTTTTTGGCACACACTTCACATTCCTTTACCTGTTACCTTGAACTTCTCTCCCCTTACGTCCTCCCTCCTACTGCTGCTTACTTCTCTCGCGCCCTCTCTCCTCCCCTCACTCTCTCTCTCCTCCCCTCACTCTCTCTCTCCTCCCCTCACTCTCTCTCCTCCCCTCACTCTCTCTCTCTCCTCCCCTCCCTCTCTCTCTCCTCCCCTCCCTCTCTCTCCTCGCCGCTCTCTCTCTCCTCCCCGCTCTCTCTCTCCTCCCCGCTCTCGCTCTCTTCCCCTCTCTCTCGCTCTCCTCCCCTCTCTCTCTCGCTCTCCTCCCCTCTCTCTCTCTCTCTCCACCCCTCTCTCTCTCCTCCCTGCTCTCTCTCTCTCTCTCTCTCTCTCTCTCTCTCTCTCTCTCCTCCCCGCTCCTCCCCCCCGCTCTCTCTCCTTCTCTCTCTACAGCAAGTGTGTAAGTGTGGCTCAGAGGGCTGCCGGGGCATCATCGGAGGGAAGAGCCAGCGAATCAACGGGATGCCTGGAAAGACGGGCGGGGCACGGCGGCTGGGTCGACTCAAGGAGAAACGCAAGTCCAAGCACCAGCTGAAAAAACGAGTGCGTGTAAGGGAGAGAGACTGGAGAAAATGTCAGAGAAAAAGTTATATCAGGTGTCTTGTTACTGCCGCTGCAATGGGTCTTGATATTTACCGTCGTCAGCCGTTTTTACACAGCATTTTTATGGAGCCTAAAGGCAAAGACATTGTATTCTGATCCTAAATCAGTCAAGTCTTTGCCATGTCTTTAGCTCTGTAACCTAGAGAGCGGTCTCTCCTACCCGGCTAAGTTTATTTTAAGGGGCAGTGTGTATGTAGAACGGAGTGGTTCCTTGCTCAAAGGAGCTTTTTGTGGGGCGGAAGGTTAGATTGAAAAAAAGACAATGGACTTGAATAGTGAGAGGGCTGGACTGAACAGCAGCATATGATCAGTACTCCTTTATCTCTAACTCTCCCCCTCTTCTCTTTTCCCAAGGAGGAGGATTCAAGTGACAGCAGCAAGTTTTATCCCCACCTTCTCATGAAACCCATGTCCAACAGAGAGAGGTACACACACAGCACATGTGCCAAACACATGTCCTTCACGCACACATACACACGCAAACACAACACAAACACTCACCACTCTCTCTCTCTGTGGCTCAGGAACTTTGTGCTGAAGCACCGTGTGTTCCTACTGAGGAACTGGGAGAAGATGAGGGAGAAGCAGGAGCTGCTGAAGAGGGAGGGCGAGAGGGAGGCCAGCGGTGGCCTGTCCATCTACACACGCTGGGGAGGAGTCATCCGCGATGACGGAAACATCAAGTCAGGTCAGTGTGTGTGTATGTGTGTGAGGAGTCAAAGGTGTGTGAGACCATACCCACATGTGCAGGAAAACAGAACTAGAATGAATAGAATAATCATTCTATACTGATCAAAAAGATGAACGCAACAGGTAAAGTGTTGGTCCCATGTTTCATGAGCTGAAATAAAAGATCCCCGAAATGTTCCATATGCACAAAAAGCTTATTTCTCCCAAATTTTGTGCAGAAATTAGTTTACATCCCTGTTAGTGAGCATTTCTCATTTTCCCAGATAATCATCCACCTGACAGGTGTGGCATATCAAGAAGCTGATTAAACAGCATGATCATTACACAGGTGCACCTTGTACTGGAGACAATAAAAGGCCACTCTAAAATGTGCAGTTTTGTCACACAACACAATGCCACAGATTGCAATTGGCATGCCGACTGCAGAAATGTCCACCAGAGCAGTTGCCAGAGAATTAAATGTTCATTTCTCTACCATAAGCCGCCTCCAACATCATTTTAGAGAATTTGGCAGTACTTCCAACCGGCCTCACAACCGGAGTCCTCGTGTAACCATGCCAGCCCAGGACCTCAACATTCGTTTTCTTCACCTGCGGGATCATCTGAGACAGCTGATGAAACTGAGGAGTATTTCTGTCTGTAATAAAGCCCTTTTTTGGGGAAAGACTAATTCTGATTCGCCCCTGCCCAGTCATGTGAAATCCATAGATTAGGGCCTAATGAATTTATATAAATTGTTTTTTTCCCTAAATGAACTGTAACTCAGTAAAATCGTTGAAATTGTTCCGTTTATATTTTTGTTAAGTATATTTCAATATGCAGGAATGTGGCAGGGGTACGTTTTCTCAAAAAGCTTTGTAGCACTAGGATAATCTTTCCTCCTTTGCCTACAATAGACTTATGATGATGTTAGTGCTGCGAAGCTTTTCAGGGAAACTCACCCCAGTTAAGTCCTGAATATAAATGCTGTTTTGTATGGGGTGTCACGTAGTGTTTGTGATGGCTTGTTAACTCAATCGCTCTGTGTGTGTCACATTGTCGTCGCAGACGTGTTCCTGACACAGTTCTCAGCACTGCAGACGTCCCGGTCGGTCCGCACGCGGAGGCTGGCGGCGGCCGAGGAGAACACGGAGGTCACCCGCACCGCCCGCCTGGCGCACATCTTCAAGGAGATCTGTGACATGATTACCAGCTATAAGGGTCAGTGACACACACACATACAGACATTTGCACTCGCGCACACAATGTGTCTATTTCTCTGTGCGTTGATTGGTGGGGAAAAACAGGTCTACTAGCCTACTGTAGGCAACACTACTTTTTTTTACGTCAACATTCATTCAGAACAATTAGCTTGTATCAGTAGTATCAAAAGAAAGGTGGGAAAGGAAAATCGAAGTTTCAGGGAAGAATGTACAGAGAGATATGCGTTCATCTTACCCAATGCCAAGCTAGTGTGTCTTATTTGCAATGAAAATGTCGCTGTTTGCATATAATTCAATCTCAGGCGTCATTATGAATCCAAGCATGGAACTTTCAAGTGTTCTTCCCACCCCAGACAGAGTCCCGACGCAGAAACATTGAAGCGTTAACTGCAAGCTACACACACAGCTTTTTGGGCTGACATATTCTGTCACTTATCTGGTTAAATCTGCATTTACAAGGAAGAGGGAAAACAGTTGTGGACATGGTGGAAAAACGTAAGGCCTTTACTAGGAAGCTTGAGTTGTTCGATTTGGACCTGTCATCTGGAAGGCTACTGCACTTCAGCACACTGAAGAAACGACAGGCAGAGGGACCAGGCCGCAGCATTATCACAGAGGTGATGGAAGATTTCATCAAGCAGCTGAGGGACAACTTCTCCACCAGATTTGAAGACTACAGCATGCCCAAGGATATCATTGCGTTTGTACGTGATCCTCTCACAGTCCGCCCAGGTGGAGAATTCTCCTCCCTTGCTAAGAAAACGATACCCTCGCTGGATGAGACGGCAATTCAAACTAAGCGGATTGAATTCCAGACTTCGAGCCAAATCAGGGATGCGCGTTTTGGGTGGCATACTCAGAGGAATACAGCACAAGAAAGAAACTTGCATTTTATGTGCTAACAATGTTTGGATCGACTTACACCTGCGAGTCCTCATTTTGCTCTATGAACGTAATATAGACTCACGACAGGAACCGGCTTTCATATAAGTCGATCGAGGACTGCCTGCGCATCAAAATCACATCCATCTCACCCGACATCCACAAGATAGTGTCCGAGGGGAAATGCAACTTTTCACATTAAGTATATTAAGTAACTTTGTGTCCTATATGACTGTATTTAGGAAATACTAACATTATTGTGAGTGCTTATCCAAGGATATTTAGTTCTCAAGCTGACAGTATCTTCTGTTTTGTTCTGTCTTTACAGGAGCAGGCTATCCCGATTCAGACACATACATCTACTTTTTTTCTTTAAATTATTGGTTTATGTAGGATGCTACTTTTTCCATTTGCAATTGTAATTAGGCCTTATAAAAAAAATCCCACTTCTTTTAGGCCATTTTATTATTGTGAAAGATGCTGTTAAGCCTCATAGCCTACCTTATTTTATATAGGCCTAGGCTCGGAAGAAATAGACTCCAATATTGTTGTTTATAAAGTCAAATTAAAATGAAGATTATTGTTGAAATGAATTACTCGACTGGTGTAGTTTTTCTCTATCTGTTGCTGTGCAACACTTGCATAACAAGTTAGCTATAAGTTGCGCTGCGGTTGCAGCTTTACGTTTCAGCAGCACCACAAAATGGTCCGCTATCCTGCATTCTCTCTCCTCATGAATTAAGTTAAAATGTAACTTTTGCATTATTTAGGTAGGGTAACTTCCTTCTTGGGACATTGCATTTGGGAGTTTTTGCATCTCGGGTCAGAGATGTTTTTTATAATAATAATATTTTTTTATGAAAATAATATTCAGAATTAATTTGGGGGCCAAATAATATTGCTGGCGGCCAGATTTGGCCCACAGGCCGTCTGTTGGGGAACCATGCTGTAAGGGATGGCAAAGCTCTGTGTTTGTGTGTGTGTGTGTGTGTGCGCGCAGCCTTCCCTATAAACACCAACCACCCCTCCAGCATACACATACACACTCACACTCTCTCTTGATCTCTCACTCACTCAAACTTGCACACATACTGAAATCCTTCCCATAAACTCCCTAGTCTCTAAACATCCCTGGTGCCTTCAGAGAGACTGCTGGACACCTGGTTTTAATTCAAGCAAATGGGAAAGACATGACAAAGTCAACACTTCTGTGTAACGCAACCCAATCTCAACAGGACTCAGTCCATGTGCGTGTACTGACCACTACAACTGGCTTACCTGTTTGGCTTTTGCCTCTACAAACATCTGCTGTTGTAAATCTGATTCAAGTGTGCAGAGAGTCATTTTTCCCTGAGTATATTTATGCACTATAACAGTAAAAGATACTCTGCTGAAGATAATAAAACGTCTCTCTTTCCATAGACTCAGCTGGTCAGACCCTTGCTGCTCCGCTGGTAAACCTACCTTCAAGAAAGCGGTAAGTGTTAGCTTGTTTGTTTGTGTGTGCTTGCTAGCTCTTTCACCCATGTTTACTGTATGTAGGTGTGTTGTGCAACGCTTTGTGTCTTATCCAACACCCTCAGTGTTCTTATCACTTCCTGCGACCATTACGATCATGTTTGGATTCATGAGACAAGCGGCCCAGTTTTGACTCTCACCCCATGACTCATTGTGTGTGTGTGATCCCAGGAACACGCAGTACTATGAGAAGGTGTCGGACCCGCTGGACCTGAGCACCATTGAGAAGCAAATCACCACAGGGCACTACAAGACCGTGGAGGCGTTTGACACCGACATGCTCAAAGTGTTCCGCAACGCAGAGGTGGGTCTCCCTCAACCCTCCTCCTTATGGGATATACACAGCCACTGATCCTTTACACACATACCTACACACCTATACACAGAGGACTCTTTGATTTACATTTGAATTGTGTGGAGGCTGTGTGAGTGCCACTCAAATCCTCTGAAGGGTACTCAACGCTATAGACAGGTGGGTTGTTTAGCAACAAAACCCAATGTGTGCGCAACTGTGCAGCAAAACAGGCAGGGTTGGCTTAGAATCAAAGGATTGTTGACAACATGTACATTACATTACATTTTACATTACATTTTAGTCATTTAGCAGACGCTCTTATCCAGAGCGACTTACAGGAGCAATTAGGGTTATATGTAAACTATATTTCCTCTCCAAATCATTATTGAAAACATAAATACATTTGCACAATGAGCACTTGTTGTCTCCCAAATACACCATTACAGTTGTTGGTTAGCTTGCTAGCAAATTTTAGCCATGTGACGAGTGAAAACACCTCAAAAGAAGGCATGGTATCAATAACAACATTCAACAAGCTGAAAGAGCCAAGATTCCCCACATGGCAGCTTCTTACCATTGTTGCTAGCTATCTGACCGTCCAGAATCATAAGACTTCGGCCCCAATGACCCGCGCGCATCGTTGTCAGCTAACCCGTCTATGGTAGCGGAAGTTTGGAAGTGGACTTTGAAAGTCATTTACCCCGCTGTCAGAGACCCTCAGCGTTTGCAATGAACCCCAGGAAAATGTATCATTGTGCAGGGGCTTAGAATTCTCAGTGGGTTTCTGGAAGCCTGGTCAAACTTGTTTAGGTTGCTGTGTCATTTTCATGGGAGCTGGTCTTTTACTCCACTTTAGAACATACAAACTGTATTTCCCACATTCTTAACGTCGTTGCCCTTTGCTCCCTCCATCCTAGCAGAAATACTACGGGCGGAAGTCGTCAGTGGGGAGGGACGTGTGCCGGCTGAGGAAGGCCTACTACGGTGCTCGCCACGAGGCCGCCGTCCAGATCGACGAAATCGTCGGAGAAACAGCCAGCGAAGCGGACAGTTCGGATTCGCTGGAGCGAGACCACGCCCATCATCACCACCACCACGGAGGAGGCTGGCCGGGCTCCCACGACAAGGACGATGACATCATCCGCTGCATCTGCGGCATGTACAAGGACGAGGGCCTGATGATCCAGTGTGAGAAGTGCATGGTGAGAGAGCGTCCGGAGAAAAGACTGGCATGTCCCAAATGGCTACCTATTCCCTACATAGTGCACTACTTTTGGCCAGAGCCCTATGGGACAAGAGGCCCAGTTTCTTAGAGCCCTGTGGGCCAAAAGTAGTGCACTTTATACGGAATAGGGTGCCATTTGGGACACAGCCTAACACTGCAGGCTCCGAGTTGGGATATGAATGTTAGCCTGGAATCCAAACTGAATATGGATAAAACTGAATATCAGTTCCTTACTGAATCCATGAGGCGATATTCAGTTTGGATTTCAGGCTAGTTTAATGTAGTGGTACCTGCCTGATGATTCTGAGTGGATGGTGAGTGTTTGTTCCTTTCAGTGGAAGCAATGTTTTGAGAGCACGAGTTGATTGTGTGAGAGATTGCTAAGTGTGGTAGTCTAATATATTGTTAGTGTTAGTTTTGGCTGTGAACAGTGATGCGTCTGTCTCTCAGGTGTGGCAGCACTTTGACTGCATGCGGCTGGAGGCGGAGGTGGAACACTACCTGTGTGAGCAGTGCGACCCCCGACCTGTGGACAGGGTGAGTCCCCCTTAACCAGTTCCCATGCTTTTAAAATAACGGTTCTGTTCCGGAACAGTATAAATCACTTTTGTTCCCGGTTTTGATTCTGTCCCTCAAAAAAAAAAAATCAGGTTTTCTGTTCTGTTCCCTGAACCGGTTCCAATCCCTGGTTTCTATAGACCATGGGGTGCGATCAAGGTTGGGTTAATAATGTTATTTTACGTTACGGGCATTTTCCAGTCCAACAAAAAAACGCAACAAAGCACCTATGCTAAGCTCTATGTCACTCAGAAACGTATTCCAGTGTTTGCCTGCCAACTAAAAATCTTTGCTAGTGTGTGCATGTGTAGGCTACCAGCCCCTCTCCCGCCAAAGCATAGGCTACTGTAGCCTACTGACGTTACAAGCGTGATTCTGAAATTAGGGAGAGACATTTTTTATTAGAGAAGGGATTTACTTTTTCAATGCTAGTTAAGGATACTATAGCTATCACATTTTACATATTTATTAACTACTAAAAGTTTTTTTATTTCTGGTGCCGCTCTGCACACACACACGCATGTTAGCTAGCTAGCTCTGGTCCAACATTAAGCCAACTCTCGGAAGTCCAAAGACATTCAAGTTCCTTCATAAAAGCCACTCCTGCATAGCTTTATGTCGCTCTGGATAAGAGCGTCTGCTAAATGACTAAAATGTAAACGTAAATGTATAATTCTGAGGGGCCTAATTCAGGGAATGCATGTCATAACAAGATGCCCAGCGCTTCAAGCTAAGCCTCTTCCTCCACCCCCTCTTGCTCCCCACCATTGTCTGTCCAATGCATGTAAACAACTATAGCTTGCCCGTTCCATAGCAAGCTGCTCTATCCGCACTGATTGGTGAAGTAATTTAATGTTGAGTTAAATGTTTAAAAAATAATAATTTCTGAGGTTTAAAAAGTAACAGAAATGAATGATATGAACCGTTACTTTATTTTTGGGTTCAAACTGGTTCTAACTTTATTTTGCTGGTCAGAACAGTGGAATGGAACGAAAAAAATAATGGTTCTCTTCAGAACGAAAATAATTTCGCTTCCAACCCCTAATGGAAACCCACTGAACGGTCACAGGTGGGTTGTCAGACCATGGGTGTTTCTCAATATGCATACTACCATGCTCCACACATGTTCCGACTGCATTTCTCCGTGGACGTTCTCTTGAGTACTTTCTTGTGAGGACAAGTGTGGATAAAATATTACATTTGAGAAGCACTCGCACTCCCCCTACTGTATTACATCACGCTGCACCTCCCCATTCACTGAATGTAATAACCTAGCTAGCCAGCTAGTTTAACAGGCAAAAACTACCTAAAGATAATGTTATGCAAGATAGATGACTAGTTGTCAATTCTTCGTGGGTAACTAGTTACCAATTCTTTGTGGCTAGCTAGCTAGCCAGTTCGCCCTATTGACTTACTATGGGCTTGCGATCTACGCACACTAAAGTGGGTATTGTAGGCAGGTTTATTTTCTCTCGCTTGAGCTCATTAATTTCAATAAACTTTTGCGCCGCATACTTTGATTTGGAAGTCATGCTCCGACCCTTCCGTGCTTCAATTTGCATGCTCATAGCACGATAGTATGCATATTGCGAAACAGCCCATGAAAGATGTGTTCAGTCAGTGAAGAAAACAAAGGTGATATGCACTTCCCAAACCTAAGATAATCAAATCACAGTTTTTTAAAAGTGCATTTAACAGTCACAACACACTTTACAGAAAGTGTAAATAAAGTGGCAATATGCAGTTGAAACAATAACAAACCGTCACCCTGCCACTGATTTGGAAAATAGCGGAGGGATGGGGCTGGAGAACCACTCTCAAATGTATACACAGAGCTATGGATTCAAGGACTGACCGTCCATGATGTCTCACAGTGAAATTCTCTGTAGGGAGACATGTCTCACAGTGAAATGTTTTGTAGGGGAAATGTCTCACAGTGAAATGCTCTGTAAGGTGAAATGCTATGTAGGGAGAAATGTCTCACAGTGAAATCCTCTGTAGTATGAAAAATGTATGCACTCACTAACTGTAAGTCGTTCTGGAAAAGAGTGTCTGCTAAATGACTAAAATGTAAATAACAAATGTATACACAGAGCTATGGATTCAAGGACTGACCATCCATGATATCAAATGTATAGTTTTAACCATGTTTTGAGTCTACAAAGTATTTGTTTACAGTTACATTGTTTACCAACAATGGAGTAAGACACGCTTATATTTTGGGTTCTGCTAGGGAACGACAGTTGAACCAAGCTCATAAGGAATTTTATAAGTTATATTCTTCAAGAATCAATGGATATATAATCAGTCATTTACAAGTCCAAAAATGGATGTACCAATCGCAGATTATTCCTTGTAAATGTATCAGGGAATAGGGTGCCATTTGGGACATAGCCATTGTTGTTTCAGGCACTCCACTCATTACAGGTGGTTATTTCAAATGAGTGCTTTGTCTTTTGTTTAATCTTCCTATTTAATCTGATGTAATATCCTGTCCCGTTGGTGCTCCAGGAGGTGCCAATGCTGCCCCAGCCCAGCTACGCCCAGTCTGGCTCAATCTACTACATCTGTCTGCTGCGAGACGAACTGCTGCTGCACCAAGGTATGGATGGGGACTATAACCATGGCTGTGTGTGAAATGGCACCCTATTCCCTATATAGTGCACTACTTTTAAACAGAAGTATAGGGCTCTGGTCAAAAGTAGTGCAGTAAATAGGGGATAGGGTGCTATTTTGGACACAACCCCATGTATGAGGCCACTTCAATGTTGTAGTGAGTTTGTGTGTCAGTTGCACAAGTTGCCACATTGAATAATTGTTGAATAGCAACTTGGGGTGTGATAAATGTGCTTTATACCGGCCTCCCGAGTGGCGCAGCGGTCTAAGGCACTGCATCGCAGTGTGGCGGCGTCACTACAGCCTGGGGTTCAATCCCAGGCTGTGTCACAACCGGCTGTGACCGAGAGTCCAATAGGGCGGCACACAATTGGCCCAGCGTCGTCCGGGTTAGGGGAGGGTTTGGCCGGGGGGGCTTTACTTGGCTCATCGTGCTCTAGCGACTCCTTGTGACGGGCCGGGAACCTGCAGGCTGACTTCGGTCATAAGTTGAAAGATGTTTCCTCCGACACATTGGTGCAGCTGGCTTCCAGGGTTAAGCGAGCGGGTGTTAATAAGTGCGGCTTGGCTGGTCATGTTTCGGAGGACGCATGACTTGACCTTTGCCTTTCCCGAGCCCGTTGGGGAGTTGCAGCGATGAGACAAGATCGTAATCACGAAATTGGGTAAAAAAATAAAAAGAATGTAATAAAACAAGTGCTTTATAGATAAAAATCAGGGTAATGTTATGTAACCTGTCTATCCAGGTGACTGTGTGTACCTGATGAGGGACAGCAGACGCAACCCAGAGGGCCAGCCGGTCAGGCAGTCCTACCGTCTCCTGTCCCACGTTAACAGGGACAAGCTGGACATCTTCCGCATCGAGAAACTCTGGAAGAGTGAAAAGTAAGGGAGGGGGGAAAGGGAACGCCACATTGAGCCAGCGCTGAGCAACATCAGCGATTTCATTGCTGTATTTTTGCCTCTGACTCTCTCGTCTCCTTGTGTGGGTGCCCTGTAGGGGTGAGAGGTTTGCCTTTGGCCATCATTACTTCAGGCCCCACGAGACGCACCACTCGCCCTCACGCCGCTTCTACCACAACGAGCTGTTCCGCGTGCCACTCTACGAGATCATCCCTCTGGAGGCCGTGGTCGGGACCTGCTGTGTCCTCGACCTCTACACCTACTGCAAAGGTGAGACTCACGCACACACACACACTTTGTAAGGGAGATTAACACAAACACACTGAGCTAACACGCATAATGACCTAACCTGGCATTTGTTTTCATTCAGGACGGCCGAAGGGAGTGAAGGAGCAGGACGTGTACATCTGCGACTACCGCCTGGACAAGTCGGCGCACCTCTTCTACAAGATCCACCGCAACCGCTTCCCCGTGTGCACTAAGCCCTATGCCTTCAACCACTTCCCAAAGAGGCTGGCCCCTAAGAGAGACTTCTCGGTAAGAGGGTCCAAGAGGAGGAGCGGGGTGGGGCTTATTTGTATTGAAGTGTCCGCATGTAGGTTTAGTGAAAGCTAGTTTGATGAGGTAGTATTGATGTAAGGTTCAGTTATGGGCTTGAATTGAGTGGAATCAGAGAAGTGTATCAGTTGTTTTAACAAAGAAGATGATTGGGCATCAGTGACGACTGATATGTGCCTACCATTCTTTTAGTTATCCTAAGAGAGAAGATTGGGGTCCAGCTTGATACACAGTTAATAAAACACATTTTTAATCATCCCTGAATGAGCAACTTGTGAGTAAGTCAAATGAAAGAGTCTTTGTTCCTTCCCAACCTCGCCACAGCCGCACTACGTTCCTGACAACTACAAGAGGAACGGGGGACGTTCGGCCTGGAAGAGCGAGCGGCCCAAAGGAGTTGGAGGAGCCTGTGAGGACGACTCCTCCCCATGCGACCAGGGTGACGACTTCCGTCCGGAGAGTGAAAACGGAAGAGTGGTGGAGGGGGACATGGACGCTGCCCATGAAGAACCCACACTCCCTACCACTGCCCAGCCCCCGCGACCGGATGGGCCAGGGGAGGGAGAAGAGGAGGATGGGGAGCTGGAGGAAGGTACGGCAGAGAGAGGAGTTGACATGCTGGAGCTCCTCCCCTCCTCCATGTCTTCCTCACCCCTCCATCACTCCGGACTGGGCAGGAGGGAGGCGCAAAGGGATCGGCTAAACAAGATTCTGCTGGATCTGCTACACAGAACACCCAATAAGAACGGTGAGCAGGCAATGAGGAAACGGGTATAGCGACAGAGGGGTGGTTTGATGAAGAATGGAAACTGTTGAATTGATGAAGGGGAAATATCGGACAGTTAACTTAATGTGTCATTGGTGTTTGGTAACTTCTCTCTCTTCTTCCAACAGCCATAGATGTCACTTATCTTCTAGAGGAGGGGTCAGGGCGGCGATTACGTAGGCGGACACTTGGATTCGGAGACTTTGTGGGTAGAAAATGATGTTGCCGCTTACCTGGCAAGCACATTCCCCTTTCATTTACTTGGGAGAGGTGGGGGGAAATGGAAAGGAAGGGAAGACGCATTTACTAAGAGAAAGTGACCACAAAGGAAAAAGGTTGGTCCCCTTCCCGGGCCCCCCTTCAGGTGGTGTCCCCTCTTCCCCAACCTTTCATCTCAAGTGATGAAACAACACAACAAATAAATGGTTTGAAGCAGTGCACTCAGCAGTCGTGATCATTGATAATGGTTTTGTAGGGGACACAAGGACTTCTCAGGAGGGTGGACCCAGACTTATTGAAGTACGATGCAAATGCATATATATATTTTTTTCTACATAGGAAAATGTACCCCATGCACTTAAAAATGCGCATTGAACAAATATTCATCAAAGACAGCCCTGGTTACTTGGGACGGAGAGACAATTACATAGGTGTAACATTATCCATACATATATACATACATACATACATGGCTCATCAGTGAACCTTGAGTCAGTTATTTTTGGTGAGCAAAAGAAAGGAACAACGTGGTACTGAACATGGCTGTGGCATACAGCCATAGACTCAAATTGACTTTGTTTTTTAAACAACATCAAATGGGAATGAGAACGCATATACTGCGGGAGATGAATTAGGACAGAAGCGGCAGGAACGAGGTTGGTCATCTGCACTTTGGTACCATGGATATTGTTGGCGCTCTGTAATGTATCAACAAGACACACTAACACTCACACAGTATTGGATGATGCAGTCTGAAAAGCAAGTTAATAAGTATATTATCATATATATATATATATATATATATATATATATATATATATATAGTAGTAATTCATTTAGGAACAGAGACGGAAGGACGGGATTGTGTTTGTAAAGAATGGCTGGTGGTCTTTGGGAAGACGGAGTGTGCGCTTTTGGTCAGTCAAGTGTCTTGTTGGGTTTGTGAGGCAGTCCGCTTCGCCCCTCTTTCTGAAGTACCTGATTCACCAGCTTAACTAAGTCAGGCGGCGGAACACTGGTTCTTACTGTAACGCCTTAGAACGCCGTGATCCCTGACTGCCTTGCGTGAGTGTGTGCGTATGTGTAGGCACATTTGTGTGTCAGTAATCTGCCAGAATTCTTGAAGAAAAAAAGAAATTAAGGGCTTGATGGCAATTAACATTTTATGGGATATTATGGAAACAAAATGTATCGTGATGGTCATATTTTCATATTCTGTGAGGGGTATCTGTTGGGGGGGAGGGAATTCTAGCTATACATTTTTTCTTCAAACGTGTTCTGGTTGCCATGGAGAATGTTTTTAAATAATTTGTGAGATTTGATGAGATTTCTTTTTTCCAAATGCTTCTGTTTAAAATGGGACTTTGACTGAGAAGTCCTATCAAGATGGACTGACAGAACGAGAGAGTAAAGAAACTGACAGAAAGAGGGCAGAGTTGTACAGTGCCAAGTTATGTATATACAGACTGGGTTATGTGAGAAGTGTCTCCAAAGCAATATCTTGATAATGGATTTTGTGTATTATTGTATTGTACAGAACTCAGCCCCATATGTATTATTATAATGATTATTTCTGACATTTGTATTACTATAATTGAGACACTTAAGCTTGAAGGAGAAGGAGGAGGTGTTTTTGTCCAGTAAAATGTACCAACTGTCCTAAATGAATGACATAAGAACTTAAAGTGAATTTTTGTTCCCTAAAAATGAAATTAATCTATGTACTGCATGAGCGAGAAGAATGTCAAACGAACTTCGTAGAAGGCATTGGGACATAACAGTGACTCTGAAATGACGTCTGTCGTTGTAATAATTAATATCAATACTTTTACGTTTGAGGAGAAAATATGCTCCTTGTTTTTGCTGCAAAGTGTTGAACACTAAAAAAACTAACCAACATAAAAGTTGTATGATATTATAAAAGATGACAGAGAAACAAAAGTATAACTGTCAGCTCAATATGTTCTTCCTTTTTGGTTCTGTTTTTGTGATAGCGTTCATAAATATGATGCTTGTGCTTGTAGGCTATTTGTGTGTTTTGTGTGATTTGTTTAGTTATTTTTAGACAATCACAAAATAAGATGCAAGCATTGTAAATGGACAGACTGGCAGACATTTTGTGATGTGTACAGTTTGTCAACTTCTTCCACTCTCGTTAAAAGTTTGTAATTATGAGTCATGACAATGCTGTTGGTTTTTACTTTTTGTTTTATATTCTTAGTTTTTTTGTTTTGTTTTTTAAATAAAAAGCACTACATTATTGTGACTGTTTATTTTACCTTGACTTTTTGATAGTGTTTAAAGGAATAGTTAAATTGTGTTCTGGATTTCCTTAATATAATTCAGTTGAACTTATAAGCAGGGGTGTAGAAAAGCAGTATGAGGGTCTGCTCCCAGGTTTAGATGATAGGTGGCTGCTGGTGCATAAGATAATTTCATTAAGGAGTTCAGCAGGTACTCGCACATAAACCATAAAAAGGAGAAACCAAGGAGGTCTGGATGAAAAAACTCAATTAAAATCCATACTCAAAAGACTACAAAGTCCCAGTGCAAAGTTAGTCACGCGCTCGCTCCTTGGAGCATAGGACCTCAACAAATAGATCTCCATGCCATCCTATTCTGGGCCAGGTCCCAGGCTGATGTGGTGATGAGTCCCAGGTTGTGCAGGTCGTCCTCCAACTGATTAGATCACCTGGGGCCTCATTTATAAACGTTGTGTACACACAAAATATGCCCCAAAACATGCGGCGCCAGTTTTGATAAAAACTTGATTTTAAACTTTAGACCATGTGTACGCACAGTTTCTAGTAGTTGAAGTATTGCATTGCAAGAAGGCAAAGGTAGCCTTGTGCAAATGGGGAATAAATGATGACTCATAACAAAACGGGTAGCTAAATATAACAAGATGCAATCATTTGCTCTTAGTGAGAAGAGCAAAAATAAATTTTCTTTGTGTTCTAAAATAAATCTATTTCAGATTATTTCATTTCCATGATCATTGCAGAATAAATTCCTCATCTTTTCTGACTGTGATGGTTTCATACTCACGAAATAGCCTATAGACCTACATGTTAAGATAGGCTGCCTTTCGTCCCATCTCTCATTTAACTGGACCCACTTCACGGTAGTGAACAGGCTAGATAAACTACTGGTATTTTGCACTATGCGATCCGAAGCACAGTTTAATGGTATAACAGATTGTTCACCTTTTCCATTGACGTTTGTAGGCTATGTCTCAATCAGTGGTGACCCGTCATTCAGGGCAGAGGCTGAGCCCCACCTGTTTAGCATGTTATTTTGGCATTAATTCGTGGTACGTATCAGTTTGCAAACAATGTATTAAAAAAATCCCTGAGTTAATAAAGCCGCATACAAACATGGTCTCTTTCTTGCTTTGTTGAGTAAGGCTGCTCCAAAATGCAGGTGTTTCAGTGCTCAGTGCTTTCTGTGTTGGAGGGGTAGCCAGCGAAAGCACAGAGTGAAGGCATTGGTAATCTTCTCTAGTTGCACTGTGATTGGCTCTGTGTTCTGACACTCATGGGGACACTATGTCACCACTGAATCTACCATGAGAGCTCGACAGTTTAAGCCCCCTTGGGTGCTGCTATAGATTTACATTAGAAGTGCTCGTCCAAGAAGGCTCAAGGTCATTGGCCACAGATAAAAGGATGTCAAATCACGTTATATCTATTGTAGCGTTGATTGGACTGATCATGTCAACATCATACTTTGAAAATCTTAGCTTGCAAGCTAGCTAGTTAGACAAACATTCATCATCATTAATTATGTCGACAATCTACTGGCAAATCCTTTTCAATCCTTGTAATATGAAGATAATTACAGATAAAATGTATCGCTGCTCATCGGGCATTGGGCATAAACATTACACATGTAGAAAATCGCAAATTCAACAATGATTGGTTTGGAAGGAATCAGTGGCTAACTGCAAGAGTTGCAAAGCAATCACTATTTTGCTTCCCCTGCTTGCTATTCAGTTGAGAGGGTGTGTGGTCCAAGTCTGAGTTTAACAATTTAAAACATCTGTCTGAAAGGGTCTCTTTTCCAAGCTTAAAAGGATAAACATTCACATGCAAAGGTTGAATACGTTGACTCCTGCTGCATTCAAAACAACTCGGAACTGGGAAACCTCCGACTTCCGACTTCACTGTGTTCAAGACAACTTGGTACTCGGAAGAAAACATGCTCCGACTGGGAAAATATGTTTTGAACGGTCATCCTACTCGGAAATGCAAGTCGGGAACTCGGGCCTCTTTCTTAAGCTCCGACTTGAAAATCACTGACGGCATGATTATTATATATTTTTTCCAGTTGTCTTGAAAGAACCATAAATCCAGAGAATGCCAGACTTTGATGACAAAATTTGATGACAAAGTTTGCCCACAAGAAAGACCGCCACGCCACCTTCCTGTTCAAGTGAGCACAGCACAACAACGGTGAGCCCCAAAATGTATTGTATGCTGCTATATGCCAGGATATGTATACTGTAGCTAAGAAAGCAATACTAAGTGTATGTTGTGTAGTAAGCTGTTAGGTAGTAGCCCATGTCTCACCCTAAGAATTTGGTCCCTCTCCCCCTCAGAACTTAGCATATTGAACAAATGGGCATATCGACTCTCGCTCATTAATGTCTTAATCGAAATTACAGTTGCCTCTTATCCCCTCATCGTTTCCTTATGTCATAGTTTGTACATCTCAATTGTTATATTGCTTATATAGGTGTATCTCATTAGTATCTTAATCATAATTTTAGGCAATGTTGGAATTATGTATTTCATTGTTTTGCTTACTTTGTGTATTATAATTAGCTCATGCGCGAGGAGGGGATACTACAGGCCTATAATGTTGTTGGGTCTGTGACCATGTTTGTTTCAAAAAAATTTTTTAAACAAAAACTTCAGTAATAGACATGTAATTCCAGTTGATATTGCAAGGGATGGTTTGTTTGCACAATGTGCTGTCTGTGTGTCAGTATATTGTCTA